AATAGTAGGAAATTATAAATATATGGCAGATCACCCAAGAAGCACTTAAAACATATGACAGATCACCGAAGAAAGAAACTATTAAGGATATTTTATAGGTAAAACCCTATCAGTAATTGGTCATTACATATAAGGTTAAAAAAATTATAATTACATTTATTTAATATATAAATGTAATTGCATACATATAGGTAAAATAATCGGTCAATCACTCTATACACCCTACTAATTTCTGTTAACTAATTATATCTTTTATATATATATTTATCAACAAAATCAATTCCACAATTTACTATGTTTCTAATTTCCGAATTTGATGTGGTTTTAATATACTTTTACGATGATAATATATTATCTTATATTAATCAAATTTACCTTATCTATTTTTATTGAGTAAAATAAATTAAAAATTATTTGATTGAATAAAGGATCATATACGTAATTCGTTAAACAAAGCATTGCAACATGTTCACACGATCTAAATAAAGAATTTTCACATTATTTTATTAATTTTTTAAAAACAGTTAGATAAATTATGCAGTTACCAAAGATAAATATCAAAAGTCAAAAAATAAAATCTTCACCCATGTTCATTATATTTCAAAACTGTTACCCTATACATGTAAACGTGATATTGTTGGATAAAGTTTAACCATATTTATAACCCCTTATTTAGGATAAGTAACCATAATTCTAACCCCTTATTTAGGAGAAGTAACCATAATTAATACATGTACAGATAAATTATATAAATTGGTGCCAATAACAGTAAAATAAAAATCTAATATTTATTTTAATTTAAAAAAGTAATAACAGTACAGGTGCAATAAAAATAAACAATTTATATATCAATATAAGTAATAACCAAACATTAAATTAATCATTACATATAAATTATGTAGCACAAGTACATGTAATAATTTTTGTTTGCAACATAAACAGTAGTAAAACTTTTTTTTTTTGAAACCAAATACTATTAATACTTAATAATTACATAATAGATTATTTATTTTTATGTAGACGGCGCAAAGACATGTATTTAAAGTAATCCGGCTTTGGCCTCTTAATTATGTGTTCTTCAGGGTTGTCATTAAACCAAGTTCACCTCCGACGAACTCTAGAATCATTCACAAAGAACGGTATAGCCCTACCCCACTCACGACAAACAAGCATTGCTTGTGCAACCCTTTTTTCGCTCATTTTTGACCAAATTAACTCCATCACCGTCTTGACTCCGCCTACACAAGGACTTTTAGGATCAACAGGAATCACATCATGAAATGTGCACAATTGAAAGTATAATGCTTTTGGCAACGGTGGTACAGACCACTTAGGGTCCCTCATTTTATCTTCCGCAATATTTTGTAAACAGTTGCAAACCCTATTGTCTGATGGTCCGTTTTGCTCATCGATTATCTTTTGTCTTTTTAACTGCCATTCATCATAGTTCGAAACATCATTTCCTTTTTGTTTTTTGCTAGATGATGTAGTGCATCCATCACCGTCCAATGGCCTTTTGCATACAGTACGAACATCCTGTGCAAGGCATTTGAAAATTAAATGCATTAACATAGCATATAATGACGTCAATATATGTTAAATTCTTTAGGAAATGCATAAAGCATAATAAAAGAAAGTAATTATATACGATATTTATCTTTGTGTTATAATATTAAAATGAAATACATACTAATTAAATAATATAAGATATAACACATACACTAGGGTTGTCTGAATAAATCGCTTTGATCTCCATTCAGCCTTAACCAAGGTTTTTTTTTTTTTTTTTTTTTTTGTTATAAAATATTAACCAGAAGAATGAAGTGATTTAGATTTATATTAAAAAAAATTATAACCGTTTTTTTTGTATTATCCTAATAATGTAACCGTTTTTTAGATAATAATTAAATTACAGTTTTAGCAGTTGTTTTTTGACGAGGGAACTTGCAGTTGTTTGACTGATGATGGAACATTGGAATGTTAAAGATGTATAAATTAATTCAAATAAATATTTTGGCAGATTATTATTAAAAAACATACATACCAATTATTTGATGTAAATTTAATTTTAATATATCAACTACGCAATACTGAAAGTTGTATTATACATACTTTTTCATAACAAATTTAGATGATCTATTTATAAACAAGGCTTAAGATTAAATTATGAAAATTTATACTGTAACTGTTTAAATAAAATATGATATGAATTGGCATTTCATAGTGTTTAAAATTTCCAAAATATAAATAAAATTATCATACCAATAAAAATTGTATGGTAACAAATACTTTTAATTTGTCCTTCCCTTAAATAAAATTATATGAAATTGCTCCTTAAGTTAAGCAATCAACACCTACAATAAAGCAATCATATTTATCTAGTTGCTTTAATTATACTATACCTAATTATGAAATCTTGCTATAAATTTTAAAATCAACCAAAGTAAAATAATGAAAGTTACCATATGTATTATTTTCTTTTCCTTACATATTAACGCTTGTATATTAAGTTTTTGTTTACTGTTTTATTTTATTTTTTTTAAAAAAAAGACTATGTACTATAATTGTGTATAAGGCTATTATTAATACTAATTTGTTAAAGATGAAATGCTGAAATGAAACATATACAGCGTGAATAAGTGTATTCTAAATTTCAGAGTAAAACCTTCCTGAAATTTAAAATATGCTTTATCATGTTCAGTTTTATGTCATTACATATTTAATACATAATATTAAAACTATTTTATTTGGTGTGATTTACCTAAATTTAAAAAGTATACACTAATAACTAACGTTCATTTCAAAATTAAAATTTTATTGATTTTTTTTGACAAAACCAATAATAATAATAATAATAATATTTAATTGATACTATAATAACTTCCAGTTCAGATGCAAAAAATAGTAGACGGATCAGTTACTATTTTTTCACAAAAATATGTAATGTCCAACTACATTATTTGACATGTCTTCATAATTTTTTTCAAATGTTTCGTGGGTTATATGGATCATTTTATTTTTTTTTGTTACAAGACCGTATACGTATTTTTAATCTTATGAATTTATATTATAGTAGGAAATATGATTTGTAATTTTTTGTAAAGGTATTTTATGATTTGATTGACTTCACAAAAATAGATTAACTTTACTTAGCATTAGGTTATTTCAGTTATTCGGCAGGATTTATTCCAACTTACCCCAAAAAAAAAAAATTGAACTGCTTAATATCTTTAGGGTAATCTGTATGTAGTTTTTGGCGCCACAATATGGTGGGAAAGTATATCATTTTGGCGCCAATTTAATGGTTTATATACGTATCTAAATCACCAATTGTAAAGCATCACAGTTACTTCCACGCAATCATTTTGGTGAATACCCTAAATTCTCTTCTTACTTTCATTTTCTTCAGAAATGCCTCCTAATCAAGAAGCTGTCTTTGACCATCAGTTTGATATTTTTGAAATTAGATTATTTATATCTCATTTACTTTATTGTATTGGTGAAAAAAAGGTAAGTGACATATTGCATGCATGCGGGCAATTACCCACAATTGAATTGATTTTTGCCGATGAAGTTACGGTGTATCGTTGGGATAACGGATTGTCCTACGATGACAACCCGAATGATGGGCCTCTTCCCGGAATGTTGGGTGATAATGTAAGTCATGCAAAAGATTTAATCGAATTACGCATATTTATGAAAAGACTAATCATTGTTTGTGGTGAAACAAAAGCCAAGTCTTTGATTGATGATGTAACAGTTGGAGAGTTATTTCTTAAAAATATCTTTCGGCTCGAGCTGAACTCCTACTACAAAGAGCAATACATGTTCAACAAGTTGCCGTTGAATGAGAATGGAAAGCGTGTTCTTGAGATTGCGGAGAAGCTTTATGATATTGTTTTAAATGAAGAAACATGGACTCCAAATTGGTTCACCAAATGTACTGAAAAAGTTCCCAAGATAACCGTATTTATTGATTATATTGATCTTACTTTGGATGATTAGATGTTTTTAATTACTTAGTTTGATGAAATTGCAGGTTAATATGGAATGAAACCATTTGTTTTTTTTTTGGTTGATGTAATCATTATATTCAATAATATGTATTTTCCTAATTTTAGTGGTGTTGATATATTTATGCATAATACGTATTTTCACAACTTTTGAAATATAAAAGTTATTTTCGCTCAAATTATTTTTGGGTAGAAAAAGATAATACCGTAATTATAGGCACGTAATCTTCACATGAATTAAAAAAAAAGGAAAGGATAACCACTAATGTATGCAAAATACTAATGAATATATTTGCACCATAATTATAGGCACGTAATAGGGATTAGTTCAGTTTATTTGATATATAACCAATTATTTCCAAAACGATTTATAAAAAAAGAAATATGAAACTATAAATTATTTCCACATTCATGTTTAATTGAATTTAATCCTTCATGAAACAGAATCGAATCAAATTTAGGTGGTCCTTCCATGGACAGCAATTTGTTACATTAGACATTATGTTGAATAATGTAATTATATAAACAAATACTAAGGTGATTTAAATACCATTCCACGCACAAATGTATTAGCACGCACAAATGTATTAGCCAAATATAAAATTTGTCAATACCTAGTCACCTAGCGTGAGTTTATCATCATAATAAAATTAAAGGACACAAAAAAAAAAACGATATATTCACTTAAGTTATACAAATAATATAAAATGGAATAAAATAAACATCACATCCACATTTGTGAACATTAGTAAAATAAAAGATTAATTGAAAAGATTTGTAATTATTTAGTAAAATAAAAGATTACTTGAAAAGATTTGTAATTATTTGTTAACAAAAAAAAGGATGTTTAGTTATTATCCTTTTTTCATGGTTATCATTTATTTATATTGAAAATTTGGTTTTTTTTTTCCAAATACGTATACAATCTTTTTCAAACTTTGAAATTCTAAGCCAACACGGGTATCTATTAGAGAAGAAGACTCACATATGGATGTTGGTAGAGAAGAAGACTCACATATGGATGTTGGTAGAACAGAAGAAACACATATGCAAGCTAATGATACCAACCCAGCTGATGATCGTGAAGTTGAGGTAGGTGGCATAAACTTGTTTTATTGTGGTTTGTTTTATTTAAAATAATTCATATTTTATTAACGATAAACTGTGTGTGACAAATTTAATGGCTTTATCGACAATTTGAAAATTAGGATCCAATAGAGGATGCAATGCAAAATCCAGAGGTAATATATATCATTTCATATACAGTGTTAAAAAAATTATTTTAAACAAACTTAAAAAATTCTAAATACGACATTTAACCCATAATTAATACAGGTTAGTGACGATGAAGATGAGATTCTTAATGTATCAGACACCGACGATGATGAAATTCTTGATTCGTTTGTTGACATATGGGAAAAAATTGGCAAGAAGATAGAAGACTTCACTTTCCAAGATATGCAACAACTGTCTTTCAAAACCCATCAAGCCTGCATTAAATTTTATAACATGTATGCCAAGGTAAAAGGTTTTGGAATCCGTCTAAAACATGCAACAACGAGCAAAGTTGATGGTCATCCGACTTCACAAAAGATTTGGTGTAACAGAGAAGGGTTTCGTGAAACAAAACACTTGGGAAGACCTGATAGAAAGCGTAAAGAGAGGCCGATAACACGATGTGGTTGCAAAGCATTCATAAGTTTCAAGTGGGATCACCGGTATGTTTCATGGTACGTCAAAGAATTTGTGGCTGAGCACAATGGCCATGATTTAGTTCCCATGAACCAAGTCTATTTTGAAAGGTTGGTTTTCACTTTATGTAACATACATCATAACTAATTAAATATTTAAGTTTCTACATTCGTTAAATAATATTAATTTTGTGGAATATATTACAGGAGCCACAGAAAAGTCACCGAAGCAGATGAGATTCGAATTAAGTCCTTAATTCAGTCTGGAGTGAAACCATCCATCACTATGAGAAATTTAGCACAAACTGCAGGGGGGATACGTGAAGTCGGGTTCTTAACAAAAGACTTGTACAATACATGTGATAAGATCAAAAAACAGGAGATAAAGGATGGAGACACAGAAACTGTGTTAGCGTATTTACTTGGAAAAACATCCTCTGACCCTTCTTTTTTTCTAAGGTACACACGTGATGAGTACGATGGTATAGAAAAAATGTTTTGGTGTGATGGGATATGTCAAGGGAATTACAAGGCTTTTGGATCAGTAATTGCATTCGACACGACTTATAAGGTAAACGCCTACAACAAACCTTTTGTGGTGATTGTAGGAGTAAACCACCACAGGAAGACAGTGTCGTTAGGTGTCGCTTTGGTCACAAATGAAAAAACAGACACTTACATATGGGTGCTTCGACAATTACTTGAGGCTGGAGGCAACGTTGCTCCTTTCACTGTTGTCACAGATGGGGACAAGTCTATGAAACTTGCCATTGAAGAAGTTTTTCCATATGCTCACCATAGACTATGTCTATGGCATCTTATGCGCAACATCAAGGGCCATACAAACAGACGCTTTTGCAGTGGAATCATGAAATGTGTTGACGGGGCTCGGACACCGTCTGTGTTTGAACAAGCATGGGAAGACTTAATGAAGGCATATGATGAAGTAAGAGATAAAAAGTGGGCTAAAGATTTGTACAATGATAAACATAAATGGGCTGAGGCTTTTATGGTTGGACAATTTTATGCAGGTAAGAAAATTACTTTCTATACGCAATGAGCAATAATAACAATGATCATTACCTGTACTGTTTTGGGGGTTATCTATATACATTTGCCTACCTTTTTATTCCTAGTGTAATGACACATTATTATATAGATGGTTACCAATTATTTTTAAAACTAGTCCTTTTTTTCAAATTGTGTTATATATAATATGTTGAAACATGTGGCAAATGTATGTGCAATGCTAAACATATAAATAGGTGTTTACCAGTTACAATATATGTAATATTATACACACATATACATCAATACACTTTATTGTACCTTAATATATAATTAGGTAAGAGTTTTTTGTAGAATAATATGAGTCTAGTGATAATTATATCATTCATTACTTATGTTATGTGCAGGTATGAGAAGCACTCAAAGATGTGAGTCTATGAATAGCACACTGAAAACGGTTATAACAAAAGAAATAATGTTGTATCGTTTTGTGGAGCTGTATGACCAAGTACTTGAACATATCCGATTTGAAGAAGACAAAGATGATTACATCTCCACACACACATTTCCCGTTATAACTGGTGTATTGACTGAAATAAAAACACAAGCAGCTCGAACCTACACAAGTAATGTGTACAATCTGTTTTGTAAAAAACTTGAGTTTGAATCAAGGCACATTGTGACAAAGGTGAAAGAAGAAAAATGGCATGTTGACGGGTCGTCCACAACCTACTGGTTAAACAATTGTGTGTTGAAAGATTGTAATTACATTGTGTGCTACAATGACAAGCTAAAACAACTAGTTTGTTGTTGTATGAAATACAATGCAATTGGTTTGCCTTGTCGTCATATGTTTGCGGTCATGAAATATAGAGGAATGGTTGAACTACCAGAAAGTTGCATTCTTCGTAGGAGGACAATAAAAGCAAAGAGCAATATATCAAATTCATTGAAGCAGCAAGATCTTCAAAAGAGGAATGATCAGGCATCGGCAAATGGGCGTTTTGCTTTCCTCATTGGTCTAAGTACACAACTTAGTAGAATGGTGTCTACATCGTATGATCGATCTATTTGGCTCAGAGACAAATTAGCAAAAATGATCCTGGAAATAGAGAAGGAGAAAATAAATCCTAAGGAGAAGGATATTATCAGAGAACAAAAGAAAAGAAAAGGCAAGGGTAAACTCAAAAAGGAGGTTAAGACCACTGGGAATGAAAATGTCGACGCATGGGTTCATGATATTGGCAAGTATGTTCATGATATTACTAATCAGGGTACGCATTGCCAAGCCGAATCTCAAGGAGCTGCGCCACAAGTCATAAAACGTGGTGGTTTTGTTGATCTATTGCGCAAATTCATGCCAAGGACATACAATGTTGGTGATGCTGCAAATGCGACAAATTCTTATGAAATCGGTAAATTCGAGAAATTGCCAACCATATTTGATTGGGATCCAAACACTGATTTTTAGTTTTCATTTGAATATGCATTCTTAGACTGTAATAAGTGCTTACAATTTTTGCATATGAATTGCATTTTTTTTTAATTACAGGTGAATTTTGATTTTACCTATTATCTGTTTGGTCACCTAAACCTATAAATTAATTAAATAACTGAGAGACATCCTTGTTTTCTCTTTCTAATATTCTTTTCATGTTTTGAATATTTATTCTGTTATTAACTCTTCAAATACTCATTGAATCTTTGATGTATATCGAATTATAGTTACATCAATCAAGTGTTTTGGTATTGCATTTTTTTAAAATTAGATCGAAGGTGAATTTGGATTTTACCTATTATCAGTTTGGTTTTTACCTAAATTTATAAATTAATTAAATAACTGAGAGACATCCTTGTTTTCTCTTTCTAATATTCTTTTCATGTTTTGAATATTTATTCTGTTATTAACTCTTCAAATACTCATTGAATCTTTGATGTATATCAAATTATAGTGACAGCAATTAAGTGTTTTGGTATTGCATTTTTTTTTAAAATTAGATCGAAGGTGAATTTGGATTTTACCTATTACCAGTTTGGATTTTACCTAAATTTATAAATTAATTAAATAACTGAGAGACATCCTTGTTTTCTATTTCTAATATTCTTTTCATGTTTTGAATATTTTTTAAAAAAAATACATATAAAGTTATAAACTGTACACAGCCTACTTTAAATCTATAATTATCATTTTGTCATTAATCAAGTTAAAGTTATCCTTAAAACAAACTATGAAGATTTATATTGAGAATATATTTGGGTTTTTAATTTCCCTTAAAAATAAAATTGTTTCTTTTATTTTAGAAAAATTACCGAATTGTACGGAATTGGTTTACGTGTTTTAAGGAGTTGTGTTTTGGTAACTATCCTTTTTTTTATAAAAAAAAATAAAATAATAATGCATATAAGCAAACAATCTCAACCGCTTATTTTTACCATTTTAATGCCAGTTATTTTTTTTTTTTGAATAATAATGCCGGTTACTTTTAATTTCACGTCATTCGAAAAATTAAATTAACTATTCACACACTCTATCTCTACTCTTCTAGATTTCTCTCTCTAACTTCATTCTTCTCTTCATCTTCTAGTTTACATTTAACTAGACCAAATCAATCTCAAAACGGTGCAAAAAGAAGGTGACGGAGGCGGCGCTATCAAATTTTTGGAAGTTAAACAATCTAGAACCTACATTGTAAGTGTACTTTGTCTTTAATTTCAATTTTGAATCGTTGATGTTGCATATTTCACTTAATAATGGTTCAATTGTGTTTCAAATTTCACTTAATTGTGGTTCAATTGAGTTTGTATCGTCGATGTTGCAAATTTCACTTAATTGTGGTTCAATTGAGTTTGTATCGTCGATGTTGCAAATTTCACTTATTATCACTTGATAGTGGTTCAATTATAGATTTTTGTAAGGTGAAAACTTTAATTTTCAATTAGGAATGTGGTTAATATTTTGATGTTATAACGCAAAAATAAAAATAAAAATAAATAAATAAATAAATAACTAAAAATAAATAAAATAAAAAAAAGGAGCAATGACATGAGAATTGAAGTTGCATGACTATTTAGAGAATGTTTTGATGTTTGTGGGTTATGTTCTAATGTTTGTGGATGACTATTTCTTCGCTTAAGATTGTCAAAATTGAAATGTTAACATTTATTTTATATATATTTATAGTGAAGCATGACTACACGTAAAAGGAAAACAGGGTCTACTGCTGAACCTTCAGAAAAAAAAACCGAAACTGCAACCATTTCCTTCTAGAAGTTCAACCACCACCGCGGTAAATTGAATTTTTGTACTTGTTACTCATATTGATATTACACATGCACTTCAAATGATTTATTAATTACAAATATTTGCAATTTTTTTAATTTGTGTAGGGATCTTGGAACCTTTTATGTAAACTTGAAGAATTTGTTGCACTAATTAAGGGTTTTCCAAGAGAGAAAAAGGATAAGATAGAGGAAATGGGATTTGGTTTTTTGTTACATTACAACACTAAAACCACTAGGAAAACAATGTGCAAGTGGGTCATTGATCATTTTGATCCGGCCACTAGAATACTAGGGGTGTATGGGGAAAAAATTGAGATTACAACTAGGGATGTTGAATACATTTTTGGGTTTAGTGACCATGGATTTGAGATTGACATTTCAGAGTTAGATAATGATGATGTGTTAGATAAAAAACTGTGGAAGTTTACGACACTTAAAGTTCAAGGAATGGTGACTGAACTGAAGAGGACATCGCATGATGATCCTCTTTTTATACGCATGTTTACAATATTTGTTATGACTGCCCTAATCTGTCCAAACATACTTGAAAAGCCTGAAAAGGCATGGCTACATCTTGTCATTGAAGATGATTGTGTAAGACATTGGAATTTTGCAAAATTTGTATTGGATAGTCCAGTTGAAGCCATTAGAGAATTCAAGTCCGAAGAAGATCCTAAACATTTGGGAGGATGTACTCTGCTTCTTATGGTAAGATTTTTTTAAATTGTTTTAATTATCTAGGCAATTACAAGTAATTAAGTAAGTAATTACCATTGAACAATATTTGTTCTGTTTTCTGTATTTTGTTACTTTATGAATTAACAAAACCGGATATTAGTGATTACTTATATCTACTATTTAATATGATGACTGTTCTGTTTATGTGTGTTTTGACATATGTGTACATAGGTAATTACCTGTTTATGGCAGAATATCTATTGGCTAAGTACTTGTCTTGTTATGGCCCTCCTTCTATACTTTCAATTTATGTAGGTATTGACGTATGTTTTAATTATCTAGGCAATTACAAGTAATTAAGAAAGTAATTACCATTGAACAATATTTGTTCTGTTTTCTGTATTTTGTTACTTTATGTATTAACAAAACCAGATATTGGTGATTACTTATATCTATTATTTTATATGATGACTGTTCTGTTTATGTGTGTTTTGACATATGTGTACATGGGTAATTACCTGTTTATGGCAGAATATCTCTTGACCAAGTACTTGTCTTGTTATGGCCCTTCTTGTATACTTTTAATTTATGTAGGTAATGACACATGTGTATGTTTATCATTACTGTAGACACCCATTTGTGTCTCCCCAAAACCAAACCCAGTGATGAATACCTTTCACGTCGAAGCATAATCGAATGAGGTAAAAGTGTGAAAAGTCTAGTGTTGCGGTTAGTTTTTGTTAAAATTCTTTCTTTCTGTTTTCGAAAACCCACTCTATTTTATGAAAACGTCCATTCCAGTTTAGTTTGGTCTATGGTAAGGGTACAATAATGGTGTAGTTGGATGGGGCTTGAAAAGACCTTTCCAACGATATATTATAAGCCCAATTCCGATGAATATTGAGGAAGTTACGGCCAAAATACTAAACTGGGCCCAAACCGAATTTTACCTACGACCCAATGATCATGAGGAGGGTCCAAAGGTTTAATCCTATTCCTAAAATAATTAGGATTGATTAGAATCTTCTATAAGTTTCTAAAATATCTTAATTATCCTTTTTTGAAAAGATAAGATTAAGGAATTTGATTTAAATATAAACTTTCCTTTTTTTATAAAACTTTCCTTTTTTAAAGTCCTAATTCTATTCGGATTTAAACATGTTCAAAGACAGTCAAATATTATTTTCGTACCTCATATTTTTTATCCAAATTTTATATGTTTGGATAGATCTTGAAATTATCTTTCCAATGATAAATTATAATAATAATTCCGAGCTATAACGGAAAAGATATGAATAAGATATCAAACTCTATCCAAAACTGACACCGTCTCACTATTTCATTCATATCTTTTATTCTACAATATATTTTAATCTGATTCTAATTGGGTTAGAAAGTAGAATTCAATATATTTCCAACGACATCTTATTCATCTTATTCCGATTCCTGGATCAAAAGATATGATAAAAACAAAATCCGCAAAAACTGTTGTCTACGAGTTTTATTTCGATTCGAATTTGGATTCTTTTCTTAATTCTTCGACCCTCTTTTTTTCCTATAAATAGAGGTCATATCTCCCCTTTTTCAATCACCAACTCTCATCAAGATTTTCTTGATTATTCTCTCTCTCTCTTTTTCTAAACTAGCCTTTTCTCAAATACAAAATTCCGCATTCACAAGATCTAGAAACACTTAGCCATATTCGAAGTTGCCTTCGCCCTAGACGTGAAAGGTTTTAATTTCTGAGGGTTTGGTCCCAAATCTCAATTTCAATTATTTAATTTAATTGTTTTGATTATTATTTTTCCTTGAAGTTACTGACGTGTGTATTTTGTTATTAGAAAGAGGTACGAGGCATCAAAGTAAGTACTTTAATTGATTAATTGATATTATGATGTAGAAATAATGTTTATATTGTTATTATGATTCCTAGTATCATGTCTAGGGTATTTTTAATGTTAAATATGATTGCTATGATGCCTTTTATTCTCTTCCTAATATTAATTCATGTTAGTATCATGTTATGGTTAAAGATTTGATTTTTATTGCTTAGTGACATGCTAGGGTTTGTTATTAATCTTGTTAGTATCATGCCTAGGATCTTGCTATTTTTATTATGCTTTAATATTAACATGAACATGATTATGATTATAATTGTTATAATTTATGATGATTATGAATATTATTATTATTATTATTATTTTGATAATGATTATTTTATTTATGATTATTATTGTTTTGATTATGATATTCGTTATTGTTCATGATTATTTTAATTATAATTATTATTGATTATTATTATGTTGCTTGATACATATTATATTTAATTTATTCTTTATTGCTTGATCACACCTTTTTATGCATGTTAAAGGGAACTTGGTACTTGTAATCACGCTTAATAAGATAATTAATAATCTTGTTTAGGGTTAATTGTGATTATAATTTCAAGTGATCGCCAATAATAGATTTATTTGTGCATTAATGTTCAACCAACATAGATTAAACAGGTTT